TTATATTAATTTGTTTTGCATGTTGAAGAATTGTTAGGCAAATTAAAATTTAGGTTAGAATATAATTTAACTTCAATTTGTTTCAATAATTGGTTTTTTTATTGGGAAATTGTGAAAATATTAGAAATTAGTAACTTTGTTACTCATTTAGTTGGATATTAGTATGTTTTAATGGTTAATTTAATTTGTTTTGATGTGTAATTTTGAATAAAGTAGAGAATATTAGCCTTGTTACTTAATTAGTTGAATTTTGGTTTGGTATAATGGTTAGAGATTAGTAACCATTTTAGTTTAGCAATTTTGAATAATTAAAATGAAAAAAATTAGAGATTAGTAACCTTTTTAGTTTAGTAATTTTGAATAAAAAAATGAATTTGAAAAAATTAAAGTAGTGAATACATAGTTTAGCAATTGTTAGTTCGATGAATGATGTGTTTTAGCTTAGAAATAAATTAGTGAATTGACATGTTATGAGAAGTACATACATAATATTTAACCTAATTTTTGTTTTTTTGTTTTTTTAATATATAGATTCATATGTGAATTGAAGCAAGAGTTTAATTAGCTTGAGGACTACATATTGAGCTCAAGTGGGTAGTTGCTATATTGGTATGACTACTAAACTTTACTTAGCTATATTTCTTTCTATTCATCCATTTAATAAAAGTTTATTCATGAAATTGCAACTTGTGTATTGTTTAATTGCAAATAAATACAACAATATATAGAATACTTGAATTGCATCATCATATGCCTAGATACCCGTTCAAGGCTTTCTCATTAGGAGAAAGTCTTGAATAGTCCCCGGTTGGGACTGTTCTTGAATGTGTACTCTCACTTAGGTGGTGAATGTATGTTTTCTTTTCGATTTTAAGGAACATCTCGGCTTACCATTTCCTCACTATGTTCTCTGGGTACATATGTGGGTAATTAATTATCTACATCGTGTACTTGGAGAACTAGGGGGAAATGCTGCCGGATTTTCCTTAAAATTGGAAAGTTGACATACATTCACTAGTGAGAGTAGACATTCAAGGATGGGTTAGGTTGGAGTGATAAGGACCCTTTGGAAACATGCATTTTTTCACTATATGAATGGTATATTCACGTTTTGTACTTGAATTTGATTTACATAAAATATGTAGCACTTACACATTATAATTATATGGTGCTATATATATGTTTAGAAACAATTTACTAAATGGAGAAGGATCGTGGTTGGATGTATGGTAGACGCGATACATTGGAATTTTGGAATGGGGTTTAAGAGTTTTGCGAGAGGGCTTAGCTTATCAACGCACACTGGGAGGCAAAGGCCTTTATTGTCCTTGTGTTGATTGTAATTGTGTGAATGTGGTCGATAGTGTTGAAATCATTAGAGATCATGTATTATGTCGTGGGTTTAGGCAATTTTACCATGTGTGGATTTGGCACGGAGAAAGTGGAGAGTACAGTGGGGATCTTGATCAGAATGATGTGCGTGTTAGAAGCAATGAGATTCATGTGGACGAGGAATACGAGAATGATGAGTATATTGTTGATAATGGAGAGGATGGAGCCGATGAAGATCAGGCGGATAAGGTCGAGGATGAACAAGTGGATGAGATGTTGCAAGGTGTTGAAGGTGAAGTGTTTGAATTATTATCGGAGGCTTCCAAAAAGCCTTTGTATCCCGGGTGCAAAAAATACTCCAAACTATCGGCCGTGCTAACACTTTTCAACATTAAGTCGAAGCATGGGTGGACGGACATCAGTTTTACTTCTTTGTTGACCGCATTAAGTGATATGTTGCCTGATGGGAATGAAATTCCTAAGTCTTATTATTACGCAAAGAAGCTCATGTGTCCCTTTGGTTTGGAGTATAAGAAGATACATGCATGTCCTAATGACTGTATTTTGTATCGAAATGAGTATGAAAAACTGCAGGAGTGTCCACGATGCAAGCGGTCGCGGTACAAGTGCATGAGTTGCAATCCTGGCACGGAGGGACCTCCTGCTAAGGTGTTATGGTATCTTCCCATTATTCCAAGGTTTAAGCGCCTGTTCTCAATACCAAAAGACGCTAAAAACTTGAGGTGGCATGCAGAGGGAAGAAAGAAAAACAGAATGCTTAAGCATCCAGCTGACTCTCCACAGTGGAAGAACATTGATTTGAAGTTTGAGGAATTTGGTAATGAAGTCAAAAATTTAAGGCTTGGGTTGTGCACGGACGGGATGAATCCATTTGGCACTCTTAGTACCCAACACAGCACATGGCCGGTACTTTTAGTGATTTATAATTTGCCTCCTTAGCTGTGCATGAAACGTAAGTATGTAATGGTTTCATTGCTAATAACTGGTCCTAAGCAACCTGGAAACGACATAGATGTTTACCTTGCGCCGCTTATTGACGACTTGAGAAAGACGTGGGACGAAGGGGTTTCCGTTTTCGATGCTCATCAGAACGAGATGTTCACATTGCGTGCAGCCCTTATGTGGACCATGAATGACTTCCCTGCAAATGGAAACTTGTGTGGGTACAAGGTCAAAGGGAAAAAATCATGCCCCATATGTATTGATGACACATCAAGCGTATACCTGACTCATTCTCACAAATATGTGTACCTACGGACTCGAAGGTTCCTTAGGCGTGATCACCCGTACCGTAGGCAGAAAAAGGCTTTCGATGGAATCGTGGAAGAGGATACTGCGCCTAGACCATTGACTGGTGCTGAGATTAGTGCTCGGGTGAAAGGGATACAAATGGTCTTTGGAAAATCAGAAAAAGTTGTGGTCTCAGCTGCTCTGTTTAAGAAAGAATCAATCTTTTGGAAGATGCCGTACTGGAGAGAACATGACGTTAGGCATTGTCTTGATGTGATGCATATAGAGAAGAATGTGTGTGATGCTCTTTTGGGGACGGTTATGAATATCCCAGGCAAAACAAAGGACGGAAAGGGTGCACGGTTAGATTTGCAAGAGATGGGGATTCGTCCAGAATTGTGGCCTCAAGAAAAGGTCAGAAAGGGAAAGGAGCTGAGAATAGAAGATGAAAGTGTTTCGAAAAAAGGGAAGGAGAAGAGCAAGAGAAAGGGAAAGGCCAAAGATGCGTCAAAGAAGAAAGTTAAGGGTAAAGGGAAGGATGAAAAGAATTATTTACCCCCGGCTTGCTATACATTGTCAAGGGTAGAGAAGCGTATGTTTTGTGCATGTTTGTACGGCATTAAGGTTCCATCAGGGTACTCATCTAACATGAAAAGATTTGTAACCTTAAATGGAGAATTGAAGCTGACAAGTATGAAATCCCATGATTGTCATATTATGATGCAAGTCTTCCTACCGATTGCAATCCGTGGTATTCTACCGAAACACGTGAGGGAAACGATTACAAGCCTTTGTTTGTTTTTCAATACAATTTGTAGCAAAGTTCTTGATCCTTGTACACTAGATGCTTTGCAAGCTGATGTGGTTGTGACTTTGTGCAAATTTGAGATGTATTTCCCACCCTCATTTTTTGACATAATGGTTCATCTAGTTCTTCATTTGGTGCGTGAGATTAAGTTGTGCGGTCTAGTGTTCATGAGGTGGTGCTACCCTTTTGAAAGACACATGGGTACATTACAAGATAAAGTACGGAACCGAGCCCAACCTGAAGGAAGTATAATGCAAGGGACAGTGGGTGAGGAAATAGGTAACTTTGTGGCGGACTACATAGCCCTTGCTCAACCTATTGGTCTTTCTACTTCTCGACATGAAGGTAGACTTGATGGTCATGGCACAATTGGGTCGAAACGAATGTCACCAGACCGAGATCAGTTCTTACAAGCACACCTTTATGTGTTGTACCATGTTTCAGATGTGCACCCATATTTAGACGAGCACATGACTTGTTTGCGTGCCGAATTTCCATCCAAAGGTGAAAGGGCACTTATGCAGTTGCATAATAAGAAATTTGTTGATTGGTTTCATGAACGAGTAATGAGTGGATTGAATGATACTAATGTGACCGATACAGTACGGTGGCTTGCGTACGGTCCTAGGGATGATGTCCATTCATTTGAGGGATATGACATCAATGGGTACACTTTTTGGACCGAGGCTCGTGATTTGAAATCTTCCTCCACCCAAAACAGTGGTGTAACTCTTGTGGCATCGTCAAGGGAGTTTGCAAGTTCTAAGGATAAATCACCTGTCGATGCAGAGTTGTCATACTATGGTCGAATTCAAGAAATATGGGAGCTTGATTATTGTGACTTCACGGTTGCTCTTTTCAAGTGTAAGTGGGTTGATAATATCAGGCGTAACGTCAAACATGAGGACTTTACTCTTGTAGATCTTGGCCACTTGAATGATAGTGCGGAACCATTTATCCTTGCATCTCAAGCTAAGCAAGTGTTCTACGTAACTGACCCAATGGATTCAAAATGGTCTATAGTGCTAGCTGGCAAAAGAAGAATCTTAGGCATTGGAGATGTTGAGGATGAGGAAGAATATGATGCGTTTGATGATTCAGCACCTTTCACTGTTCCTAGACCTGGAGTACTAAATGATATAGACAACGAAGCAGGTTATATGCGATCAGACCACAACGAAGGAATTTCAGAATGAGGTAGTTTGATTAAAAGTTAGTAATGGTTTCATTGCAAATATAGTTTAGTTATCATGTATATAGGAGCATAAGTAGGCGAAAATGATATATTTGTAGTTTGAAATTGCCTAAGTGTACTCATTATCATGCATATACAAGGTTATAGGACCATAAGTAGGTGAAACTGGCATAAATAGCTTCTACTTAACCCAACTCCTTTGTTTTGTGTATGAACTAACATTTATTCATTCTAACAACCTATTTTCCATATGTAGATTGAAATTGGCATTTTGTACTCATTATCATGCATATACAAGGTTATAGGACCATAATAAGTAGGTGAAAATGGCTAAAATAGCTTCTACATAACCATAATAACTATCATGCATATACTTTACTATACACTAATATTGTTTTATGATTGCTTTGACAGGTGCTTATATCTCATGGCGGACGATCATGATCCTCGTTTGGTAGAGGACATTGACGATGATGAGTATGAGGACGAGTACGAGGATGACGACTCCGATGATAGTGATGCTCCTTATGATGTGAATAAGGAGGATGACTTGGGTGAGCCAGAGGATCAGGCTCAAGATGAGTTCGAGCGTAGGCTTGACGATTTTGAAATGTCAGATGAACGTGCACCGGCCATTGTAAATACAGCACGTGAGATTGTTGGTGAGAACCCGACTTATGAAAGTCAAGGCCAAGGACAAGATGAAAACAACATAGGTGGTGGAGGGGGGAAAAGGCACCGGCTGAAAGAAAAACAAGGGGTCCGACGAGAAGCTTTAAGAAACCGGACGGTCCCATGGTCTTGGATTATGACAACAAAGGCCAACCTGGGCCCAAATGGCGTCAACAATATGCTAATAAAGTTGGCTTATGTTCGCGGAAAATCCCCATTACACTTGTAATGCGGCAAGTACCTTCGGGTTTGATTCAAGCATTTTGGGATGATACAAGGGTAAGTGTGTTTTTGGCACATTTAGACAATTTAAGATACCTTAACCTTATGATTGTTTTTAAATAGAAACTAATAATCGGTTTAATTTGTGCTTGCAGAGGCAGTTTTCTATTCCTAATGATCCCGAGAAGAAAAGGGTGTTTGTCTCTTTATTAGGGGAAAGATTCAGAGGCTTTAAGACCAAGTTGACTAATCGGTGGATCCATAAGAAGAAGAAGGTGCAAACAAAGAAGAAGAATGCCAAAGAGGAAAACCATCTCCCGTGGCAAATATGGCCGACCGTGTCAAAAGATTATTGGGAAGAGTTCGTTAGAATGAAGAGTCAAAAGAAAGCCATTGTAAGTTTGTGTAAATCTGATGTCAATTGAATAATAGCTTGACACTTTTTGTATTAATGAGACTAACATTTTTTGTTTTGTAGGAACTTCGAGAGCAAAATCAAGCGAATGCAGAAAAGAAGGAATACGTCCATCGTATGGGTCCTAGACTTTTGCTGAAAAGAGACCTGAGTGGGCCGCTTCGGGTTTATACCCTAAAGCGGTTCTAGTGGCATCGAAGGAACTCTCTAGTTCCACGATCACTACATTGGTGAGTCGTGCCGGTGATTTCTTTTGTTCTCTCCATTCGTTTGATAAGAAAACCGGAAAATGGTTCATCAAGGGTCCGGAAGCCAAAAAACTGGCGGATAAGCTAGTAAGTTACCTATGAATTGTTGAAATTAAGTCACTTTTGCATCTAATCACTGTACAAACCATTAACTGTTTTACTGACCTCATTTTTCCTTATGCTATAGCTTGAGCACACTCAAGAGATGGTGGAGGGCAAATTTGAACCAAGTGTGGAGAATGACCTTTTCACCATGGCTTTGGGAAGGCCATACCATCCAGGACGAGTAGTAGGTTCGGGAGGGTCATTGCTTGGATGGAATAAGGTGATGGGTCCCGAATACACAAAATCGGGTAGATCTCGAGCCAGTGTTAACTCACCGGGGGAGTTGGATGCCAAGGTGGCATCAATTAAGGAACAAGTACGCAACGAGTTAGTTGGTGAATTGAATGCTTGGGCAAAGTTGATGAACTTACCGACTATTCCGTTCCTCACTCGTACCCCGGTCGACTCATGTTCTGAACCAAAAGGACAAGGAGAAGGTGATAGACATGGAGGAGATGAGATACGTGGTGAAGATGTGTCACCTCAGGTAAAATCAATTGGGTTATTAAAAGTTTTAAAATACCGAGTTAATTGAGATTTTAGGTGCAATGATTGATGTACTATTTCAGGTTCCTACTCCTACACATGCGGACTCGAGGGAGCTTGAAAATCCAACACCGCATGAATTTCCAGAGTTACAGGTGATTTGTAACCCTCTACCTTAATGAATTTTGTTATATCTATGCTGTTGTAAAAGTCCTATTTAACTATCTTCTTTTTATATATATACTTGTGTAGGAAGACACCCGGTGTGCACTTCTAGCTCCGGGGAATGCAAATAGTACCGTGTTGAGTTTGGTGGTGTATGGTAGTGCCCAACCGACGACGGGTGCTACGGCGGGGCCACATCATTACTCGGTTGGGATCGATTCAGTGGTTGCGGGGTTTGAAGACATCCCACTACCCGTACCGATAGAGGAGGTTGAGATAACAGCGCTTTGGCAAGCTGTAGGTAGCTTCGTTGATTGGCCACGTGCATGGGTGAAGTTGATTAATAAGGAGGTAAATTAGCTACTCACTTGACTATTTTCTTCATTTCTCAACTTATAAACTCCTTGCATCTCAAAAAAACTCATAATCGCATATTTATAATTGTTTTTCATTTGAAATTACATTAAAATCGCTAAGTTCTAAGGTTTTGGGTCCAATTCATCAAACTAAAGCCACTTTGAGCCGAAATGGCTACTCACTTGGCTATTTTCTTCATTTCTCAACTTATAAACTCCTTGCATCTCAAAACAACTCATAATCACATATTTATAAGTGTTTGTCATTTGAAATTACATAAAAATCGCCAAGTTCTAAGTTTTTGGGTCCAATTCATCAAAAAAAGCCATTTTGACCCGAAATGGCTACTCACTTGCCTATTTTCTTCATTTCTCAACTTATAAACTACTTGCATCTCAAAACAACTCATAATCACATATTTATAAGTGTTTGACATTTGAAATTACATAAAAATCGCCAAGTTCTAAGTTTTTGGGTCAAATTCATCATAAAAAGTCATTTTGACCCGAAATGGCTACTCACTTGGCTATTTTATTCATTTGTCAACTTATAAACTACTTGCATATCAATACAACTCATAATCACATATTTATAAGTGTTTGTCATTTGAAATTACATAAAAATCGCCTAGTTCTAAGTTTTTGGGTCCAATTCATCAAAAAAAGCCATTTTGACCCGAAATGGCTACTCACTTGCCTATTTTCTTCATTTCTCAACTTATAAACTACTTGCATCTTAAAACAACTCATAATCACATATTTATAAGTGTTTGTCATTTGAAATTACATAAAAATCGCCTAGTTCAAATTTTATTTTTTTAAAAAAAATAAGCAACTTCCGCCGCCATGATGTGTTGGGTGGTTATGCCCCGAGCAGTTATCCACTACTAAAATCATAGGCAACCCCCATGATGTGTTGTACTATGTTGAACAGAGTATAAGGGAATCAACGCGTGCGGGAGATAAGTTCATATTCACCCCATGTTATAGAGAGTAAGTCTAACCATGTCAAATTCAATCGATTTGGCCTCATTATATGTTGACTCCTAAATATTAATTACCTTGTCTATTGTGAACTTATGTAGGGAGCATTGGAGCCTAATGGTGATTTGTAATTCCACTAACACAATTTATCACCTTGATTCAGCTCGATCATCGGAGAAGTGGCTCGTGAAGTCTATATTGCAAAAGTAAATATATATAGCAACCTATAGTGATGATTATTGCTAATAATAAATAATTTAGTAATCATACGACTAATCAAATTTGGTTGTATTTTTTAATACTACAGTGTTATGAAGAAGCTACATTGTCGTGCTCCAAAGGGTCCAACATGGAAGACACCGTTGGTAATTTACATGATATTATTGTGATTATCTTGAAAATCTATGGTAGTAAATATTTGCTCATTTCCTTTGCATGTTTCACTGATGTGATTTGTTTGTCATATGCTAGTGCGCACAACAAGAGAATGGACTTGATTGTGCTTTGTATGTGATGAGATTCATGCTTGACATTGTGACTCATTGTACGGACACTCAACAGCTTGATGAGGTAAGTCCTAAAACTTCTTGAAATGCTATATTGATGTGATTTCTAGCCTTAGAAACCTAATATTATCCAACAATGACATGTTATGAGAAACAAAAAGGCTATTTCACAAGAAAGGTAGAAAATGTGTTGAATAGAAGTCATATGGGCCATATTAGGGCCATTTTGTGTTAATATGATCTTTTGATGTGATTTCTTTCCTTATACAACTATAACTAGATAATATTGACATGTTATGAGATAAATAAAGTTCATTTAATAAGAAATGTAGGAAATGGGCAAAGTAAGGTCATATAGGTCATATTCGGGCCATTTTGAGTAAAAAGCGTCGTAAACCTTAATAAAATTCTCTCCTATACAATTTTAGGGCTTACACACATACAACTACCCAACATTGACATGTTATGAGAAACAAATAGTTCATTTGATAAGTAATGTAGAAAATGGGCTACATAGAAGTCATATAAGCCCTATTTGGGCCATGTTGAGTAAGATGCGTTGTTAAACTTCTTGAAATGCTATATTGATGTGATTTCTAGCCTTAGACACCTAATATTATCCAACAATGACATGTTATGAGAAACAAAAAGGCTATTTCACAAGAACGGTAGAAAATGGGTTGAATAGAAGTCATATGGGCCATATTAGGGCCATTTTGTGTTAATATGCTCTTTTGATGTGATTTCTTTCCTTATACACCTATAACTAGATAATATTGACATGTTATGAGATAAATAAAGTTCATTTAATAAGAAATGTAGGAAATGGGAAAAGTAAGGTCATATAGGCCATATTCGGGCCATTTTGGGTAAAAACCGTCATAAACCTTAACAAAATGCTCTCCTATACAATTTTAGGGCTTACACACATACAACTATCCAATATTGACATGTTATGAGAAAGAAATAGTTCATTTGATAAGTAATGTAGTAAATGGGCTTTATAGAAGTCGTATAGGTAATATTTGATAAAATACATATTTTTTGCCTAATTAATTATTTTTAAAATAATGTTTTTGTATTTCAAGTTTTGCAAGGTCCAAAAGGATGGTCCGTTGACAATCAAGGAGCTTAATGAAGTTCGTGACATGTTGGCGTCTTTCATCACCTTCAACATGTAAATGGCATGCATTGTAATTGTAAATTATTTATGTTAACTTTTGAACTATATATAACTTATTATTCATTATATATGTGTACTTACTATTATTTGTATATGTAAGCAACTTTTTTTTTTGTATTGCGTTTGGGAATATTTATATCTATATATATATATATATAATTGAATTCTTGTATCTAATATTATTTTTGTATATAATAATTAATAATATTACTATTAGTTATTATAATAATAAAATTATTAATTATTATATTTAATACAATTGCTGGAATTACAGGTTATTATTATTGCAAGTTTTTTTTAAAAATATTATTGCACGATGGAAAAAAAACGAAAAAAAAAATTTATACAAAAGGCACCGTTTAGGCAGGAACCGGTGCCTAAACTATCTACCACCCAAAAAAAAATGGCGGGAGAGCAGTATTAGGCACCGGTTAACCGGTGCCTATTCTACCCTATGGCACCGGTTAACCGGTGCCTATTAAACCCTATGGCACCGGTTTTGAACAGGTGCCAAAAAGTAGGTTTTTGGCACCCCTCAAATAGGCAGCGGTTCAAACCGGTGCCTTAGACCGGGTTTGAACCGCTGCCTAATGCGTTTTTTCTACTAGTGATTGTTTTCTTTTACCTTTTTTTTTGCTTTAAATATTTATTTTTGGAAACTATTAAAAGCCCCCCAAAATGTTAAAGAAAAAAAAGAGAGAAAAAAAGGAAAATATAGAGAATTATTCTAGACTATGCAGAAGAATTAATCAAGAAAAATTACAAGATCAAACTCTTTGATTAAATACTTTCAAGATTATATCGAGCTTTTTTGTTCCAAATATTCAATTTTATATAAATATATTTTCTCCCAACTTCATAAATATCACAACTTATTACATGGCAATTTTCACTTTTGTGACACTAAATTATAAAAAAAATTCTCTTTCCATTCATTTTTTTAAGATTTTTTTTGAACTCACGATTTTTTTTGTTATTATTTATCGATTATCTTAGGTGAATGAGCATGAAGGAGAGAATTATTTATCATATAATGAGAATTAACAACAAATTTATTTAAAAAAAAAACTCATTCGGTAAGAAAAGAAGGGTGAAATGTCACAGCTTGTTAATTTTTATACCAGTTTGTCGCAATTTGTTAACTATTTTACTAATATGTAGCCGGTGACTAACTTTTATACCAATTTGTCACAAATTGCTAACTTTTATACGAATATGTCACCGACGATATGATAACTTTTATACCAATATGTCACAAGGGTGCTAACTTTTATACCAATTTGGCTAATTGGCCTTACATGTTGTGTACTATTAAATATTAATAATTAAAATACAAATTACATATTGGCCTTGTTTGGCAAATGGCTATTGGCTGGTTCACTTGGCTTGTTTGACCAGCTGTTTATAATGACTTTTGAAATTGGTTGTTTAAGCTGGCTGGTTATAAAAGTGTTTGGTAAATTAATTGTTGGTTGTTGGATGTTTATTA